AGTACATCAGCGAATTCATACAGGAGAGAAACCCTATAAATGTGAAGAATGTGGCAGGGATTTCAGCCAAATTGGAAGCCTTATAATACATCAAAAAATTCATCAAAGAGAAAAACCCTATGCATGCAAATAATGTGGAAAATGTTTCAGTCATTCCTCAGCTTTTAAATTCATTCAAGAGAAAAACTCTATGCATGCAAAGAATGTGGGAAAAAGTTCAGCCGGAAGGCAAACCTTGTAGTAGATCAGCAAATTTATATAGGAGAGAAACCCTGTCAGTATGAAGAATGTGAGAAAAGCTACACAGTTGGGTCAACCTTAAGAAAACATCATAAAGGAGAGAAATCTGTTCAGCTCAACGAATGTAGGAAGAGGTTCACCAAATACTCAAACATCACAGTACATCAACCAATTTACTCAGGAGAAAAACTCTATACATGCAAAGAGTGTGGTAAAAATTTCAACCAGCTCTCAGATTTTAAATTTCATCAGCTTCTGTCTGAACAAAGATCCTGGGGAACAAACAAATTCATTCAGGAGAAAATCTCTATCAGTGCAAAGAATGTGGGGAAATCTTCCTTTGTAGAGCCAATCCTATTAGACATCGACAGATGTACAGAGAGGGAAAACTTTGAAATCATCACTAAATTATCTCCTTCAACTCCATCAACCTGTCTGTCTTGGGAAGAAACTGAAGAGAGAGGTTCCTGCCACAGTGAGAGCCTAGTTTTCGAATTATACCTTTATGAATCTGTGAATGCATGTAAGACAACAGACTTTATGGTGCCCTCAAATGTGGGAATCCCCTCCACGGAAATCTTCTTTTCCTCCAAAAGATACACAAAAGCCACATTCCTGATGGCATTTTACAACAATAAGGAGATAGTGAACAGGGTGGTGTTGTGAGTGAACTCTTTCATGTGTTTTAAGATAATTGTCAAAAGGAGGATGGGATGCGTGTAACTCCCTGCCTTCTGTTCTGTGATTTTAAAAAATATTTCAAACCAAAATTTTTGCTGAGATGGTTTTAACAGGAGTCTAACTTTATCATTTTACAAAAATTGCCTTGAAATTGAAATAAATATTTAGACTGGAATAAGGCCTCTGTGGATGAGCCACGATTATGCAAAAGGAATACTGACAGGATGAGTGAGGATAATTTTGAGCATATTTGCAGGAAAGATTGTTAAAAAGTTTTTGTAAGTAATGCAACCCTAAAAGGATGTTCAAGGAGTTGTGTCAACATTATCAAAACACACTGTTGAACAATAGGGGAAAACCTACAAGCAGGGTTAATAATATGACACTGAAAGAAGGACCTCGGAGCACTATGAAACTTTATAACACCCCCTTGGTAGTTTGATTGTGGTAGTCCTGTGGTAGTCCATCAGAGGTGAAATTTATTCCTGCAGGGTTAGATTCTAGTGTGAAACCAGATACCACTCTCTCTCTCTCTCTCTCTCTCTCTCACACACACACACACACACACACACACATACACACACAGAGAGAGAGAGAGAGAGAGAGAGAGAGAATGAGTTTCCATAGCCAAGTAGGAATACAGCATCTAGTTTCCCGAGACTGAGCCCCACATTCTGTCTCCTCCATCACGTATGGACTGAGGTTGCCCAAAAAATATGGAAGTCTTGTTCCTGTATAACACCTTAATGTTGAAAAACATGTGTCTCCCTGAAGATGGAGGGAGCCGGTGGCAGGGCTTAGTTTTTGAAGGAACACACAGTCACCGTATATTATGCTCTAGATCGGGTACCTGACAGGAAACTACCAGACGACTAATGCCTTGTAGTTCTCACAGAGCTTAGCCCCTTCTAGCCCCTTTCTTTCTCTCTATGGAGAGTTATCCTCTCTGAGATGGAGCCTTCATTCCTCAGCTGATATTTAGGCATCCTTCAGTCTCAAGAGACTATGGTAACGTGCTCTGAATAGAGATCTTGGTACAGTGTCTAGTATGGCTGAGAAGGCCAATTCGAGAGTGACAATCCCTTCCATGCTGAAGACAAATGCAATCCATCCCCTGTTTAGCTCCTTGATTTTGCTGGTTTCGGGACTGCCTCTTTGCCTCAGCCTGCTGAAAAGTGTCTCTTCAAATTGGGAGAAGCCATGTTGCACCGCCTGCCTCCAGGCTGAACGCTCAGATGTCAAGCTTTCCCATCTGTTGAGGTCCATTCCTAAGGCTTTCAGATCCCTCTTGCAGATCACTTTGTATCGCAGCTGTGGTCTCCCTCTGGGGTGATTTCCCTGCGCTAATTCTCCATACAGGATATCCTTTGGAATCCAACCATCAGCCATTCTCATCTCACAACGTGCCTGAGCTAAAGTAGACGTTGATGTTTCAGTAATGTTTACTTAGTTATACATTATGTATTCCTCAGCTATCAGTTGTTCAAACATCAGATGTGGATGTTTTGGCTAAAGCACTAGAGATGGGCACAAGGTGCTTCATTATGCTTTGACCTAATTATTCCACGTGGCAGCACAGCTGATCTGTGCCTCCTCATCACATGAATCTCCAGTCTGGACAGACTTCCCTGCCCCACCTCCTCCCACAGCTGACCACTCAGATGAGGAGGTGGGATGGAGATTCTCCCTGCGCGGCTGTTGAGTGGTCAGCTGCCAGAGGAGGCAGAGCAGGGAAATTTCGGCTCCTGCCTAGACTGGAGAATCATGTGATGGGGAGGCACGAAGCAGCACGTGTCAGCTGGTGTGTGGAAGTGCCAGTGAGGGGGTGGGGGAAAGGCAGCTTTTCTGCCACACAGACAAAGCATGACAAAGCACTTCATTCATTCATTCATTCATTCATTCATTCAATTTTTACCCCACCCATCTAGACAACGTCTACTCGGTGTATATGATGAAACAGTAACAGCTACAATGAAATAAAGAAGAGGGAAAAGTAAGAAAGAAAAAAATCAAAAATTTGCTGGAGGGAAGGTCTGAATGAACAAACATGTTTTTAATTGGGTTTTAAAGATGCCCAGCGTAGGGGCCGCGTGAATCTCCAGAGGGAAATTGTTTCAGCGGCGAGGAACCACCGCCAAGAAGGCCCAGTTTCGTGTCTTCTCCTTCCAGGCCTCTCTCAGCGTCAGGCTCCTCAGCCTCACCTCCTGACTCGCGCGGGTGATCTGGGTAGACCTTGGTGGAAGCAGGTGTTCTGCCAAATATCGAGGTACTAAACCATTTAGGGCCTTGTAATTAAGCATTAAAACTTTGAAGTTGACACGGAAACAAATGGGCAGACAACGCAATGCGGCCAGCGTTGGATAAATGTGTTGGTATTTTCTCCCTCCGGTAAGGAGCCTGGCCGCTGCATTCTGCACCACCTGAGGTTTCCGCATCAGCCTGAAAGGCAGTCCCACATAGAGCGTGTTACAGTGGTATCATCTTGAGATTACGAGTGCATGCACCAAGGTAGTGAGCATCTCTGTGTCAAGGTAGGGTCGCAGCTGGGCAATCCACCAAAGGTGGAAAAAGGCGGTGCGGACTACCGACGCCACCTGCATTTCCATGGTGAGCGTCAGGTCCAAATGTATGCCCAGGCTGCGGACCCCACGCTTCGCGGCCAGGGTGACCCTCCCAAACGTGAGAGAGTCACCCAAGCCACCTACCACAGGGGCACCCACCCTCAGAACTTCTGTCTTGTCCGGGTTCAGCTTCAGCCCGTTCTCCTGCATCCATTGCAGTACGGCCCCCAGGCAG